CACCCACACGTGCACACACACGCACACGCAGAGCCGCCCCAGCCCCTGGCCCCAATGTGGGGGGGAGGACGTTAAGACTTTGTTAGTGACCGTGCTGGCCCCCCCCGCCTGCCCGTGCCCTGGGGCTGGAGAGGTGGCAGGGGGACACGGGGGGGGGCCACAGCCTTCCTCCTCCTCTTCCTCCTCCTCCTCACCCCCCCTCAGGCTTTCTTGGGTGGGGGGGCCAGTTTGATGATCTCCTCTTCAGAGGGCTGCCGGATGATGTCTGCCAAGACACGGGGGGGGTCAGTGGGGCCTCTTCCTGTATTGCCCCCCAGCTAGAGGGACCCTGTCCCTGCCCTGGGGATTGGGGGGTCCCTGTCCAGGGGCAAGGGGGGTGGCTCACCCTTGTACTTCTTGGCACTGGGGATGCGGGTGAGCTTGGTGTCCACCTCGTCCTCCTCAGAGATCTTGAGGACCTGGGTGCGGTACTGCACCACCATGGTCAGCAGGTCCGGGCGACGCGAGATCTCAAAGATGTGCTCGATGTACGACAGGTTGTCTGCGGGGATGGGGACAGGGATGAGTGCTGGGCCACCAGCGCTGCATTGCCAAGGATGCCCGGGGACAGGGGATGGTGATGGGTACCACAGCAGGGGATGGGGAGAGGGCAGGGAGAGACTGGGACAGGGGACAGGAGCTGGGGACAGAGGCCAGGACAGGGGATGGGAGCTGGGGACAGGGAGCAGGCAGGGATGGGGAGCAGGACAGAGAACAACAATCCCAGGGGACAGGGACTGGGATGGGCACTGGAAGAGGGGACAAAGGACAGGAACAAGGGCTGGGATGGGGATCAGAGCACATGGCAGGGTCCAGGGTGGGGACTGGGGCAGGGGACAGGAGCAGGGCCAGCAACAGGTGACAGAGACGAGGAGCAGGGACAGGGACTGGAACCAGGAGAGGGGACAGGGATGGGGGAAGGGGCCAGGGGGGGGACCCAGGGGACAGGGATGGGGACCAGACAGGGAAGAGGGGAGGGCCAGGGCCGGGGGGTCATGGACTGGGATGGGGATCCGGAGAGGGGACAGGGATGAGACCAGACCACAGGGGACAGGTGACAGGGCCAGGAGAGGGGATATGGATTGGGGCAGGGGCCAGGGACCAGGACAGGGATCAGGGGACCAGGATGGGGACCAGGAAAGGAGGCAGTGGACCTGGTTGGGGACCAGACCAGGAGACAGATCAGGATCAGGGCAGTGGCCAGGGCTGGGGAACGGGGGACGGATAGGAACAGGGGCCAGGGCCACCCGGGAGGGGGGTCTCACCTCTGTCCAGCTTGCTGTGCTTCTCAAGGAAGGCGAACCAGTGGTGGCTGGTGGCGATCGCCTCGCTCTCCTCGCTGGGGATGTCCTCCTTGCAGGCTGACTTCAGCTGCTCCAGGTCCTCGGCCGTGATGTTCTGGGCCAGCTCCTCCAGCAGGCTGCGGTACTCGGCCATGGCTGGGCAACACCCACGTCATGAGCTGCCCGGCCTCAGCTGCTGCCCCCACTCCACGTCCCCGCCCCGGTCCCCCCCTCCACGCCGTGGCGCCAGCCGGGCTCCGCTGGCCCGTGACTCATGTGATGCTCACGGGATGTGACAGGGACGGGGATGGGGGGGCGGCAGGACCCATGGGCGCTGGCAGCGGCTGCTCTGCTGTGGCCTCGCACACGCGCCCTGGCCTTGCACAGCCCCCCCCCCTTGCACAGTGCTGCTTGCACACACCCCCTGGCTTTGCAGTGACACCCCCCCTCTTTGCACAAGCCCCCTGCCCTTGCACAGGG